CTTTCCTCGACCCCCTGGAAGTCCTGCGGGCAGGGGCGTGGGAGGCGTGGCCGGCGTGTGGCTCCACTTACCAGACGACATGCTTCATGACGGTGTCCATGAGGCCGCTCAGCAGGCCCCGCGAGGACTCCTCCTGCATGGCGCTGAGCAGCGGCAGCTGCTGGAGTATGGTGGTGGCCTCGTGATGCTTCAGCTTCTGAGTCAGCCCTGGGGGCACATCCAGACTCAGGGGCCAGGAGGAGGGGCAAGAAATGGGTGGCTGGGGGGGCTCCAGGCCAGGGAAGGCTGTGACTCGGGGCTCCTCTGATCCTGACGTCGGGTGAGGGTGTGACCACCCCCACTCTGACCTGGGCAACTGTGGCCTTGAGGATGGGGACCCACCAGGAGGAGTGAGGCGACGGGGGGTGGGCCACTCAGACCCCAGGCTCTGCCGGGGGCCTTGGCCAGGGCATTTAGCATGAGAGGCAGGGGGACCGGAGGCCCCGCTGGGGCAGTTTGGCCGCCCACAGGTGCTTACGATGCTGGCATCTGTGTCCCAGGGCCTGTGGGCCAAAGCCCCTTAGGGGCTGAACAGCAGGAGGGGGAACCAGGAGTAGGGGCGTGGTTCAGGGCCCTGGTTCTGGTCCCTCCAGGCTCTCTCGCTGGCAGCCCCAGGACATTTGGTTGGGGTATAACCTCCCCCGCCCCCTGTGGTGGCACTGCCTAGTGGCACTGGGCCATGGTCAGCCCTGCTGAGGGTTGGGGGTGAGTTCTGTGGGCGCCTGGGGAGCTTGCAGGCCGTGTCCCAGAGATGGCCTCCCAGGGGTTCCCTGTGACCCGCTGCCTCCAGCCATAGCTTTCAGAGAATGTCGTGGGGCCCTGGGTGGCTCTGTGCCCGTTAGCCTCCAGTGGCCGGCTGTGAGCAGCACTGGCCGGGGACAGTCCAGTGTGCCTCAACTATACTGTTCCAGCGAGGTCTGGGGCGCCCTGCTCTGCCTTCGTTCTGTCCTTGGGTCCCCTTGGTCCCT